TCTCGGCCAGCCTATAAGTTCTGATTAAAAAGTTCGTCGTCCTAGGGTGCTTAAAATGATTAAGAGATCTTGGATTTTCACACTATTATATGATTCCGCCGGGATGGACTTCAGTTTCTACCTTGCTCAGCTCTCATCAATACTTCCGACAGGAATCAATATCGTGCCGTTTGCCTTGCAGCGTCGCTATCACTCCACGACATGGTCATGGGTGGGTCGAATTGACATTCAGTACTAGAAAAGTACAACCATCAATTGGTAGGTCTGAGTTAAATGAAGGCCAAATGGTTAGATGTAGCAAAATGGGCATGATCTGGTCGAAACTTCTTCTATGCAATTACAGCCAAATAAATAGACAAGTGAATAATTAATAAGAGAGATATACACATAAAATCAAGAGCTCACTCAGTTAACTATGAGCATTTTAAGCAGAATAAAGCTGATGTTGAATATATCTTCTAGAGTGAAGGGAGATGTAAATTTGTGTATTTCAATTTACTAATGTTAAGTGGGTGAACCAAAATATATCAGGCACTGATGAGTAAATTGATGAGAAAGTGCTTGAAAAAGTCCCCTGGCACTAGATACAATAATGGGTAGGCCTTCAGAAGTCTCCTATTAACCTCATATTTTGTGAAGGCCAACTTTATATTCCATGAGATAATCTACCTTGCCTTATCGTGCAATAAATCATGTGCCTCAGGATTTTATACCGTCAAAATTACTTTCTAAATATTTCTCAAAAGCATACAAAACTTAATTGCTTAGGACTTACCTGGCGTGTAAATGCATATTCATATCTGATATATCTGTGCAATCATTAATGTTCATAAGTTTCTATACAAATCTTTTATATTATGGCATGATAAAGTATAATGTTGCTAGCATTTATTTTTAAGGGAAAGAGAGAAAACTTAGGAATGCGCTTCTAGTTTAACATCAAGTTATAAAATGCAAAACATGTATAATCAAGCAATATTCCGATGCAAACCTTTCATAACTTTGGAGGGAAAGAATTAATAGCACATTGGGTTTGATGAAGTTTCCTTGTTTTTATTTCTTTTTGAACCGTCTTAAGATTGTAATTTCCCAACCTTACTATCTTCGAATCTTCAAGAATGATATTCCAGCATATAAACTAAAGCTAGATGCTCATTAAAAAAATAGCGGCCCCTAAATTGTTAGGGAGATACAACGAAGTATCAATCCTTTTTTTTCAATTGAAAACAATGCTGTTATACTTTATACTAGTATGCCTTATAATTATAGCATTTCATTGTCAATTCAACTTTGGTAGTTTTATCTTTACTTGTATGTCAACCACAATTAGTCATATTCCTTGTTGCTTATTTATTCATTTGTAATTTTTTAAATTTATTCGCGCTCTTCATTGTTGCCTACCAGAATATGATTTCAGAAAAGGAAAATCGAATTCGCGAACTCGAACAGGCTCTGCGAGAAAGTATTAGACTGACGGCGGAACGTGAAGTCTATGCATCCGGACGAGAAGAAGCCTCGAGACAGATTGAGCAACAGGTTTGCCTTTGACTGCCTATTAAATTACTTAGTATAATAAACCCACTAAGAAAACTGTCTTATTGACATGACTTTGTTTAGATAAACTAGCTTCTTCAACCATAAGGTTGGTATGAGATGTATTCACCCTATTTCGTCTAAGGTTGGTATACCTGGAAAAAGTCTGCTTGACTGTTACCGGCCCCTAAAATATGCGATAATTGGCCATTAAGCTTTGGATTTGAGTAGATTTCTTATGGATACTGGCGTAGATTTCATTTCGTTTCGGAAGGCAGGTCGAAAATATTCCTAGATTTCTCTCACCGGATACAGCAGGAGGGTCGCCTTTGACTTTTGTCTGTTGAATTGTGCGAAGAAGACCTCGGCTCACCGTCTTATGATCCAGATGACTCCGTGCTGAGCTTACTTCCGTCATGTGGTTTCTGGCT